TGAAGCAGAATGAGGTTTTGACCTTGACTTCGTATATGAGTTGTGCCAATTATAAGCATATATGGTTCATAACTCATAACTATTTCTACAAATACCGTTCATGAGCTAAGGCGAACAGGACTAATTGTCTCGATGGTTGATCATTCTCAGCCGATCATTAGTTATACAGTAAATGAAATACGGTTCCTGTATACGTACAGTTTGTGCATGCGAGCCATTTATTGATGCTGAATCTATTGGTACCATAATATGAATTAATAATTTAAAGGGACCAAACTTGGCGTTTTGTGGCCGATTCGTCTTTCTCCGTCATCCTTCAGTCAGTACTCTACCAATACGACTAACATTAGTAGTAAAATTTGTCTTTTAACGTCGAAATTAATCCTATACTATCCTAAACAACGTGGCAGTGAGAAAACTGCAATGTAACCACACCATAACATTAGTGATGCAGAACTTTTGGCAGTGAAATGTCGGCTAATTGCCAAGTAAAACGAAATTTTCCTACCCATTTCCGATTCCACAGCCTTATGTTTATTGTATTATGCGGTAAATCCTCGTGCTTTGCCCACCGATTGGATCGCCAATATGTTACACTCTATTTATAAAAGAAACATTCACGCATCGTAGGTTTGATAGATTCATTGAGGCATGCCCTTTGTGCTCAGCCGCCACGTGATAGCTGAGCATTGAAGCGTTGTGTTTGTTGCCTCATAAGATAGATGCAGGCAGAAAATTAAATATTGAATGAATATACCAAGAGTACGAAGACCGCAAGGGCTATCAGTCTGGGTATTCCCTATTAATGATGTTACTAGAATGCTCCCACACACACCGAGCGCAATTATGTGAAGCCCTTCGATTCTGAGCTGCATACCTCCACTTAGACACCCACCACCTGTTCTATAATGAATATGTTTTTGTATTTCCCGTGTAATATCTGTCGTTTGAGGAGGATTTGCCGACAAGTCATAACAATGAAGAGATATACAAGCAGAATATGGAATTGCTGAGGCAGAGGCTACGCGCACAGGAGGAACGCATGCAGCGCGAGTGAGCTCTTCGATTTTGCCTCATTGTCCCGGTCTAAACGTATGCACAGTGGCTGCAGGCTTTGCAGTTCTTCCATCATTCTCAGGATT